CGTCTTGTGGCCTTCAGGGGGTCAAGATTACCTAAACTTCAAGATCTCAAAGGAAAATCAAGCATGGTAAATCTCACCCAACATCATACTTCGGGGGAGGTAATAGTAACCTACATCAGGAGAGGCAATAATAACCAACATAAGAGGAATGCAACAACAACTTTTTTTAAGGAAGGTAATAATAGCCTACACTAGGGTAGGTAACAACAACCTACTTCAAGGAAGGCAACAACAACCTACATCGGTGGAGGCAACTACAGCATAAACTCTGAAGGTAACAATAGCTTAGGGGGTAACAATAGCCTAATAAATACTTCAATTAAGAAATGAGTGGTGTGTTTTCTTCCCTCTACCCCCTCACCTCTTAGATGGCTTATTTATAAGCAAAAATTATGAATTTTGGGCACCAAAATTCAAGAATTTTCAAATTTTGCTAAGTAAACCATATATAAGAGTATACATGCATGTGCATTGACACATATAAACGGTCATAACCAGTGCTAATCCAGTCTGCCCTCCCCACCCTGCCCATGCCTCCATGACTGTGGAGACCCAGTCCACTCACATTGCGCTGACCCACCAGCAAGAGAACTGATATGCCCACATCGCATTGACCCATGTTTCACTGACCTAGTCCATGTCCACTATCACACGCTTGTACACCCTTCTATCATGGACAACCACACACACACCCACACTAGTGCATGAGTATTGAACACTCACTCAATTGTTGTCACATTCACTAATCTTCACACACTCATTTACATCTCGCTTGCATCCATGCTTTTCTATGGACCCCATTACATATTTAACACATCATTATGCTTATTTTCTTGTACGCATGTTCATGTGAGCCCGAGTATGATGCCTACACACCAAAAACTGAGCCAACACAATTTATCTGCTACCACCATCAACATTAAAAATGATAACATGATCAAAGCATCCATGATAACTAAAATGTTCTTGAAGTATGAATTTTTGGAACATTTAAATTTATATTTTTAGATGACACAAAAAAATATCACTTGAAAACCAGGGGCAACTGATACGTTATCAAGAAATTTGTATCACATATTACAAATTTGCATACTTTTTTTGAACAAAACATTCCAAATTAAAATTCAAGATTATCAGGGGCTCAAATTTTAGGAAGCTTATATTCAAAACAATTGCCTCAATAAAATGAACCCAATGATACCAAATTTGTTTGATCTAACTCTAATTAAGCCCAAATCAAGCCATTAAAGCACATTTGGAGGCTTTGTATCATCACTTGAATGGTCAAATAAACTCCAAAAATGACATTTATGATCAAATCGAGTATCTAAATAAAGGAATCCTACGGGCTTGAGATCACTCCATTTTGAAGTCAGTAAGGTGCTTAAAACGTTAAAAAAATTAAAACGCCCCTTCCTAAAAGCCTATAAATTGACCCCTACTTTTCACTTGAGAGAAGGAGGAGGAAGAGGAGGAATTCAAGAGCTCATTCTAGACTGAAGACTCAGTGATAACTTCCATCCTCCATTGTCGTTGAACATCATCGACCACCACCAATCGTCATTGCTTGCCCCTACCGACCTTCTGCCACCAATGACCCCTATCTATAAACATTGTATCCCAAATATGACATTAACATATAACACTCGTATTGGAGAAAGAACAATAAGTTTCGGTCTCCATAGTCATCGACCACTGTTTACCATCACTGACCATCACCACTACTACCACCGACGGTCGTTGTCTACGACTATCATGCCCAAAATATAACAGTTTTTCCTAACACATGTATCTTTATTTATGTTGTATATCGACATATACTTTCTCTGACATAGAATTATTCCCTTATTTTGAGAGAAGGGTTAAGCCACCAATTACAACCTCTATGGACAACTGGAGTCATTGTAGTCACCGTTTGAAACTTACATGGATAATTATTTTTTTTATAGCCTTCAACTATAGCCTCTGTGGTAAACTACCACAAATATAATCACTTACTATATCATTCATGGCCAACTACTGCCTTTGGAGCCGCCTTCAACTATAGCCTCTGTGGTAAACTACCACAAGTATAATCACTGACTATATCATTCATGGCCAACTACTGCCTTTGGAGCCACCAAATACAATCTTTATGACCAACTACTATTAAATGCAACTTATGACTATGACATTTATGGCCAACTGACGATATTGTAGTCACAAACTATGACATATGTGGCCGATTGATAATATTGCAGTCACCAATTATAAACTCTATGACCAATTAATAATATTATAACAACTAGTTGTGAACTATGTAGCCAACTCATACTATTACAGTCACTTATTATGACTTATGTGACTAACTACTATTATTAAAACTTCCAACTATAGCTGGTCTCTATGACCAACTGACGCTATTACAACTTATAACTATAACCAAGATGACCAACTAATAATATTGCAGTCAGCAACTACAATCTCTATGACCAATTAACACTATTGCAGCTTCCAACTACGGCCTAGGTTACCAACTGATGATATTGCAGTCACCAACTATAGTTACTGTTACAACTTACAACTAGAATTTGTGACCAACAAACACTATTATAGTTACCAATTACGGCTTCTATGGCTAACAGTTGTTATTGCAACCATCAAATATAATTTTTATGGCCAACTACTACCTTTGTAGCACTCAACTGCTGTTTTTGTAGCAACCAACTATATTTTTTTGTGGCTAACTATTGACATTGTAGCCAAGAACCACATTTATTATAGCCCAATTATGGTTATTATTACTAAACTACTATTGTACATGTGTGATTATCGGCTTTGTAATTCTGTCTTCTCTAATTCAAGATAAAAGTGAACATATGCACTTACAATTACATAGTGAATTACTTTGACTAAGCTAGACTCCATTATTTTTTTGTTTGTCTATATTTTTTTTCACTTAAAAATTCTGGTATCTCCTACTACTTCTTTCATTTATTTACGCGTGTGCTAGATTTTCATGCAATGCTAAGATGTTAACATATCACTCTAATCATGAATTTTTCTGCACATAACAATGATCATTATTGTTAATTTGTATTTATCGATGATTTTAGCCAAAATGAAGTTACTAATAATAATAACAATGACTTTTTCAAGTGGCATTGCCTAATTTGCTTAGAAAAATAAAATATCATGGCTAGTATGAATTTTCTTTGACTATTTGTATGGAGAAAAAGAACAAGTAAATTCATTACCAATACTACAAAAAACCTCAAGTTAGTAATTAGATGTAACTTTTGTGATGGTTAAAACCACATAGAAATACAATTTTTACATGTAGTGCATGGTTTTTAGTATTCTTCAGTATTTTTTGTAGTTTTAGCTAGAAAAAGTTGTCTCAAAATTATATTTGCCAATATTCTAGCTCTAGAGATGTTATTGTATTATGCAAGCTATACTTATTTCAATATATCAACGACTTCATATTCTTTCATACATCTCAAATATAACAAAGTTTATGACTTTCCAAACAACTAAACATCGATCAACAAGTATTGTGTCATTTGATCTTGAGTTGCCTTGGGTTTTTTAATAATTAGTAAGATAATGTCCAACTGCAGGTATTTGACAAATTGATCCACCCAACTTGGCTTCATTTGACATTCAATTTCCATACATTTTGCTTCTTCACTAGTTGGATAAGTTTACTCTAAATCAAATCCTTCATTTAAATTTTTCATTTTATAGAGAAAGACGATAAATTGATTTTGACAGCCATGTATATATTTGACTTTTAAATACTAATGTGCAGATCACAAATTTTGACTTTAAACATATATTTCTACAAAATATCCTCTTATGTTTATTACTGTCTGTTTACCTGATTAACCACCAACTAAGACCAACTAAGAGTCTGAGTAAACAAGAAGATAATTAACACTAATTGCAATTAAAAATTTAAAACTAATAATAAATATTTTATACTCAGTTTGGCTATTTATGATCTAAGAAAAAAACTAATGGCATGTGAAAGAAATATTTTTAATGAGCTCAATATTATTCCAATGACATCTTCTTCAGTTCTTGAAGTACTATATAAGAATAAGGTCTATATTGAATCATTTACTCTTTCCTTGCAAACTTCATAAAGATCACCCAAGAAATTAGCTAGAGCCTGCTCCTTAATGGGTCGCCCTGGGTGAGAAAGTTTTGTTGAATTCACCAAGAGCTTGTTAGTGACCACTTTTATTTCTTATTTTTAATTATTATTTTAGCTTTAGTTTTAAAAATATTTTTACATGTTTTTATTTTTTGCTTTAAAAATAAATTAACTTGTTTTTAGAAATACTCAAAATATCTAAAATTTATTTCACTTATTTTAAAAAAATGAGTTTTCATTTTATAACATAAAAAATGTATTTTATTTTGAGTAAAAATATAAACAAAATTAAATAAAAATAAAAATATTAAACGATCCCAAACGGACCCTAAACAATTGGACTCCTCCTTTGCTTGATTGACCAACCTCTTTAATTTGTGTTCAACCCATGGTAAATGATACTCTAGTCCACTTGGGCATTTTACCTTCATATGAGTACAATAATAGTAAGAAAATAATTATTTGATTTTACTAAAAGAGAAAAAAAATTATACTACCAAAATAACTTATAAAAATTTATGTTTTCTATAAATTATCATCCCCTTCAAATTTTTATTTTTATCATACGGGTCACCCAAAACATTATTATTTACAAATCAAGCTTCTTCTTTTATCTATTTTTCAAATTCTCACTCAAATATCAAATGTCATGATAAAACCCCAACGCTTATTTATTTTTATCAAATTCATAATAATTTGATCGTGACATACATAAATATATCAGTTTGATAATTAATAAAAAAATTATCTTCGTGTTTGATTTATAAATAATAATGTTTATGGCACTATGTATGTAATTATCCAAATAAAAATAAAAATAATAAATGATGCTTTTCAATCTTCATCGGGCCGCCAAACCTACTGCTATCGCCCACTCCCCAAGCCCTAATCTTTAATTTATTGGCCACAAAAACACTCCCAACCAAACGCCGAGCTATGGCTTCTCAGTCTGCTAGCATCAACCCCCGTCAGGTGTCCTCGCCGGCGAAACATGGAGATACATGGGAAGGATGCAGCGTTCTCCTGGATATCAACGACGGCGACCGTCTCGTCTTTGCCCGACTCTCTTCCGGCGCGTACGCTATCTTTTATATATCGAAACCCCTTGTATATTTTAATGGTTCAAGCATTGGTGTGGCCACGACGGAATTCTGCCGAAAATTGATGATTCAATGCTTTTGGATCTGCAGGACTCTTAAGATCGGGAACAAAAAGTGCTCCCTCAGACCATTGGTCGGCTGCCCGTTTGGTTCATTATTTAGGGTCGAGATTGGCCCTAACGGTTCTGTCCTTGCTAGATGCTTTCCTTCTTCTTCTCTGGTTGGAAATGGTTAGTTTCTCTCACACCCTTGTTTATCATGTTACTTGACTAGGACACTAGTTGTTTACAATTTTATGATTTTATTGTTTCCATAAATAAATGATTCTAATATGATGCGAAGACCTGAAATTGCCATGATTTGATTGAATGGTTTTCCTTTTTCAATTGTCGGTCTCGGATGAGAAATGTTGATGCATGAGCGGAACCACCCCTCAAAATTTTTATTGCATTATAAAAATATTGCGTTTTTGGAGTTTGTCAACTCTCAATCTATTATTTTGCTCAATTCTCAGAAAAAAAATAACAACTGGTCTATATATATTTTCTTAAAATTTTACATTTTTATTTATCTAAATTTCCATTCTATAATTCTTATAATATTATCTTACTAGTTATTTATTTTTTTTTCCTAGAAACACTAATTATGGGTATTTTTATTCATATTATTATTATTATTATTATTATTATTATTATTATTATTATTATTATTATTATTATTATTATTAATACTGTTGTTATTATTATTACTATTATTATTACTTATTAATAGATCATTTATTGCTTAAAATTTTACCCACCTTAAAGAATGGGCTGCTTCTGCCCCCTCTTGGTTGTTTTTAGATTATCAAGTAATCATAAAATTTTTGTTTAATTCTTGATATGAAACTAAAATTGATCGAAAGTTGTGGCAAAATGAGGGATCATAGATTAATGAATGATTAGTTTAGAGGGATTTAAGATAATTTTGTTGTAAGTGACTTATGTTGTTTTTGAAATTGGAAAAGATGGAAACAATATGGCTCGATCAATGCATATGCTTGGAGAACTATATAATAAGCTATAAAATTATAATAACAACTATCAGAACACTAATAGTTTTGCTTAGGCTCTAAATAAAGATTTCCGGTGTGGTTGGTCATTGTGAAGAACCAAATAGGCTTAAATCCTTATTACTTAAAATTGATTGCCTTTATAATTATTATTTAGTTAATTAAGAACTTATTACGTGATATACAATAGTGTTGATTTAATTACTTCTTGCAAATCAAGCATATATGAATAATCAGTAGTGATGTTGTTAATTCATAGTCTTACTATATTTTGTTGATTAGATTTCAGTAAATACTAGTATAAGTGATTACTATAATTGTATTTGGGTTCAGATTTTGAAAGGTGGCATTGATGTTACTTCAGTTTTGAAGAGCACTCCAATACTCTTTAGTGTTCTCTAGTAATTCACATAATTGTTGTGTGTGTACAATGAAATGGTGCATTATTGTCTTTATACAACCTCTTCTAATGATAAGTAGTTGGTTACCTTTTCTGAATTACCAATCTACCCACGCAAAGGGCCCCAAGAAGAAAGGGGGCTTGTACAATGGCATTAAATTTATTATTTCCGACTGCAAAATAAAAAAAAAAGACGCGTTTCATCTCTTAGCTAGTTTGATCATATGGGCCATGAATATAATCAAACACTGATAATATTTGTGGAACTACTGTTAAAATGTTCTTCATTTGTGTTTGAGACACATGGGCTTGAATGTAAGCTCTACTATCTTTCTAGAGAAATAGTTTACAATTGTCCTTGGATTATATATGGGGTGTTGTTTTATTCCCATTCTAACTTATATGTTCAATTTAGTCCCTTGACTCGTTCAATTTGGGCCAAAATAGTTCTTTTTCTCCTCGAATCTTATCTAAAATAATCCAATTGAGGGAATTTTGTGCATATTTGAGAAGTAAATGAACTAAGGGTTTGTTTAGGGCAGCTGCAGTAGTTTGAAGAAGCAGCTGCGAAACTGTTGTTCAAAAAGCTACAGTAGCTATTACAAATATTTTTTTTTTGAAAAGGTCAGACTACAACTTTCTAGCAGCCACCACAGATGTCAGGTCTGGTAGGAAAATGTAACTTTCAGCTGCATCTTTTTGAGAACGTAGACGAAACACAGTTTTGCCAAAGAGGCATAACTGTGGTGCGACACTGCACCTTCGCCCCTAATGCACTCTAAATTAAACTCGTTATATAGCTAAGACTAAAATAACCTCATACAAGTAGTTTAAAGATTATTTTGACATTTTTCACCTTTTTCTATATTTATAGATTAAACTTGTAGTGTTTCTCAGGATGCTTAGAAGATCTTTTTAATTGCTTTTACCACTAAACTAGTTAGGTTCTTAGTTCTGTTAAAATCTCAAGTTGTGATTGTGCTTCCAAGAACTGATTTATCTTAGTTTCTTTTATTTTTTGTGCAAAAATGACCTAACTAATCAAGATTGCTAATTTACATTGTTGTGCTTAGCTGCCATTTTGAAGGATAAAGACTACTTGCATGCAAATGGTGAAATGAAGGATAATCGATCCTTGTTTGACAATAATACTGCACAAGGTCTCTCTTCTGAAGATATAGATGCAATGAAGAGGTAGCATGATTAGTGTCTCTCAATCTAATTCCTTTTACTTTATATGATCCATTCATTAAAGGCTTTATTTGATACTTTATTTTTGCTTTGCTTTTTTAGACCCGTTATATCACCATTTTGATTCAGGCGGGAAACAAACTGTGTTGTGCACCCTTTCGTTTCCAGGCTTCACAGCCATTGAAAATGTTACAAAGCATTTATCTATTATTATAATTACAAAGCTGACTATTTCAGACAACACTGCACAAAACAATCCTAGGATAAAATTACCAAATAAGCCCTTGTTACCGCTGTCCATTATGACTATGTACTTCCTTTTCTACTTTTTTAGGTTTGCCAAATACAATTTGAAATTTATTTGTAACCTAATATATGACTTTTACAACATCTAAGCAAATACAGTAGGCTTTCTGTTTTCCTTAAATGTTATAATTGTCTTTATACATTGCCTTTTCTCCCACTCCATCAGGTGGAGGGAAGAAGAGAAAAGGAAGGTGTGGAAAAGAGAGAGTGTGATGAATAGAGGTAAAGAGATGGAGATAAATTGTGCATTATCATTTTCATTAGCCTTATCTTGAACTAATTGGGGTTTGTTTTATAATTTTAAGTCTGTTTATTCTTGTCTAGTGTTGTATGAGATGCTCATATTTTTGTGCTTGTAATTCTTGGCCTACTCGTTTTCCTCATTAATTTTCAGAAATGAATTTTATCCGTCATTTCAGTGGCGGCTTTACCACGCATAGAGAAGATGTATCATTTAACTGATGACTTTACATATCATATTAATTTGAAGCAAATGAGGTGGATAACTCCCAAACTAGGAGACATATTAGCATAGTATTTATGAACCTATCTTCTAAATTTCTGTAATAATAAAAATTTCAGTGAAAGTAGGCATATCCTGTTAATTTTTCAAATTTATTACCGTCAAATTTGTCGTGGTTAAAACCAGTAAACTATCTAAAATAGTTGAACAACGGTCAAGGCCTGAGTTTATTTCTGATTACAATTAATCAAACTTGTTTCTTCTTGAAAAATCAAACATGGTTAAGTGAAAGAAATCTTAGTAATATGCAGACAGCCTCTCCTGAATAAGCATTACGGACTTTTATTTTTATTTTTTATTTTTTGGGAGGATGAAATTTGTAACAGTCCTGGCATGATGTTATTCCAGGGAAGGTGCTAGTGGTGATGAAATAGTTGAAGCTCTTATAGCTAACAGTTCAACCTTTGAAAAGAAAACAATACTTTCGCAAGTGAGTAAATGAAATAAACGGGACTAACTTTTTTTTTCTTCTCAATATACTGCTAATTTGCAAATTAATTGCAGGAGAAGTATAAGATTAAGAAGCAGAAGAAATATGCACCCAAAGTACTTCTAAGACGTCCCTGCTCCAAAAGGTGAGGTTATTTATTTTGCAATATTTTACATATTGTCCTACTTTTTTCTATTTACATTTATTATTTGGCTTCAAAACTTGCACCTTATTGACAACTCTAGATACTTGATATGTGATCACGCAATATGGGTTACTGATGATCTTGTTCATAATCCAATACTTGTGCTCTAAATTCAAAGATTGGATAATACTTATTTAAATCCAGCTCAATGAAAACTTTGAATTTTCTCAAGGAAACCCAAATATAAGTTTTGTAGCAAAATATGGAAATATGTTTTGGTCACAAAGCTATAACTAGAAAATGATTAGGCCATAGAAAAGAGCAATTGCATAAACACACAAGACAAAAGAATGCTAAAAATTTTCTAGAGAGTTATTTCTTTAGCTTGTTGTAGGGTCCGTTTAAGGCCGTGTTTTTCGAGCGTCGCGGCCCCAAACCGGAAAGTTAAGATTTTTTTCTCGTGCTTTCCTACGGAGGCAGCGGTCGCTTGCCGCTGAAAAGGAAGAAAGCCGGCCGCGTGGTCGACCCCGTGGCCTGGCTTTCTCGAGCGTTAATGCCTCCTCATACAAGT